AATATTCACGCACTTCATCCTCCTGAAACAAGACCTGTTGTGATCCTACATACTTAAAGTGAATTTTCCATAATAGCCATAGAGTAAGTAAAGCTGGAGATGTTTCTAACTGAGTACCAATTAGAACAGTCACTAGCAGTTCATTTCAAGAACTAATCTTGTACAGATTCAGTTGTGGAGTGGTCAAAGTGTTTTGAATTACATGTACAGTATGCTTAAAAAAGACAGTAGAAACAACAACAAAATTATTTTTGAGTATGCCAGATTTGAAGCAGCAGATTAAAATATCTCTATTTTCTATTTATTCTCTTTTGCACTTTGCAGAAATATCTTTCTGTGATTTTGTCTGAACATTATTTATTATAAAAATAAAATGTATTTTATAAATGTGAGTTTAATGTCATTTGATATGACTTGAGATAAAATATTATAAAGAAGATTAATTACAGGGCTTCTAATAAAGTACAGAATACATGTTTATTTTGCACAAAGAAAACCAAGTCTTTATTTGAAGAGATGTGATTAAATGCATAGGTTTAGGTTATATTGTCATGCTAATTATCAATGGTAGGAACCAATTAGGACTAGTACTACCAAATCACTAGACTGCACTGCGTATTCACTAGTGTACCTTTACTGCTCTATTGTTTTTTGCTGTAAGCAGATAAAAATGAAAATATTTCCTTTAAAAGTTCGTATTGTACATTTTGAGCTGGATATCATTCATTGTGCTTTTCTAAACTGTCCCACAGAAGTTACCAGAACCATTTGTGTGAGAAAGACAGGCTCTGTCTATAGGAAATATGTGTGGCTGCTTTAGCTAACAATTAAAGAAAAAAAACAAGATGCAAAAAAACTTCTTTTGATTCAAATGCCTATTGTTTGAATAAGTAAGGTTGCTAATCTGTCATTTGCAAAGTACTGGAAGTGAGATTTTTATTGAACCTACTATGTGAATGGCATATATTTCTCAGCATTGCACACCTCATTTATCATTCTGGAATGAGGACCAAGTACCATATGAACGTAGAGTTTGTGAAGGTATTGCCTCACAGCCCTGAAGGCTGATGACCCCTCTTTATCTACACAGCAGGTAAGGCACAAATAGTGGCAATGTGAGCTCTCTTTGCAGTCCCCTGCCAGTGTGCCTGACTGCTAAGCTGGGGGAACAAAGGAAAGATAGCATATGGATAGCAGATTGTAGGAGCGCTGAAAGAGGACTGAGGAAATCTATGTTGGGTGTGTGGCTCTGCCAAAGATCTCTTGTATGACTTTGGCCTTGTCACTTAATCTCCTTCTGTCTCTGTTCCCCTCTGCAAACAGGGAGAAGGCGTCTCTCCTCTCCCCCAGGCTTTGCCTGGAAATCTGTTCAGACTCTGAGTTGTCTTGGACAGTGTGCTTGTGCAGCATGGGGTGGAGTAAGACTGAGCTTCATTGGATCCTCTAACGGCTGCTATCATCCGATTAATAGGAATTACTATTAACAGCAGGGTAACAAAGAAATCCAAGTCATTTTGATAGATTTTACTCATCTTTTCAGGCCATTCAATCTTTGGCCTCTGGGTGAAGGGTATGAACAACGTAAGCAATTAGTGTCAGGAGCAGAGCTGTGAATTCTTTTATAGGCTTGCAAACAATGCAGAAAATAGTGGCATTGGTGATCTCTTTTTTCACCTGTCTCTTAATGCCTTTGGAAGACATTTGTGCCAAAATAACATCAGAGTGTTTCTGCAACACACAAACTGAAGTGCTGTGCAAAAGGCTGTATTTTGCTTTACTTTGGCCTTGGCTATTGCTCCCCAGGGGATTCAAAAAAAGCCCTCAAAAAATGTAAAGGCTAAGGTGGGAACTGTGGTTTCTACATCTCTGTTATAGACTGTGCATATTTATGGGGGTATATAAGGAATAAATAATAATGCACAAACTGCATTCTGTGCCCTTGTCTACCAATTGTGCTGATGCATTACGTGATATAGCTACTACTAATGAAACTAGGATTTGATTTTTTGCTTCACCTAAAATGCATGTCTGTTTTGCACCTGCAATCTTGCAAATATAAATAATTTCATGTGTCATTTTTTGGACATACCCACTGGTGGGTATAACTGATGCTGTTTATGGACAAGATTTTTCAGAGGAGCTACGGAAATGGAATTTCAAAATTACCTGGATGCCTAAAGCCTCTATGCTCTTATATCTTTCTAAGTATACATCAGTATATCTTCTCTCCCGACAAAGGTGTTGCTGGTCCAGAGGATATCACTTGCTCCTGCTGTTATACAGATGTGCAAAAGAAACCTGGAGAAATAATGTAATCAGAAATCTAACCCAAGCACTATTTTTCACAAGATTTAACTGAACAAATGCAATCACTTTTCTTGCTTCTTCTCTTTTTTTTTTTTTTTTTTTTCCCTTTTCTGAAGGGAAACAAAGATCAAGAGACTCACTATTAGAGCTTGAACTCCCATTTCCAAAACAACTAGTGAGTTGCCTCTGGGTAGAGTTTGCAGTGGAAGGCTGGCTTTATTCACATCAGCAGGATAAAATAAGGTTCTTCTGGAAGTGAATGACTGGGCAAGATTGGGTTTTCAACACCCATTCCAAAGGCTTACTCTGTGGTGACTGTTGAATATGTAGGGCTGGAACCTAGTACCCAAATCTCCATGGTCAGAGGTAAAGCAGATGTCACCTGAAACCCTTCAGGAGGTAGAATTTTCTTAATGCTCTGTCTTGTTGTGCAAGCCCATTGAAAGAACACTTCTGAGGGCACCCATTTCGTATTAATGTAAACTTTCTGAGGAGTATCCAAAGATATGACCTCTGGGTGAACCTTTAACCTTCCCCGTAATTATTTGTTTGAAGACAGTGTGGAGTTCTCCTGCTGAGAGCCAAGGCCCATAATGCTTCGCAGCCCTGTGAGCAGGGGGGTGTGTGCAGAGAAGTGGAGAGGGACATAAATAAGGGGACCACCAGATGTAAATAATAAAAGTGGTTGGGGTTAAAAAAAAAAAAAAAAATCGAAAAAGCAATTTGGTTTCCCTGAAGAGTGGCCTGATTGAAGAAAAGGGGTTAGTAAGACGGTAAGTGTGTGCGTGTGTGGGGGGGTGTTTCTGTGATTTTTTACAGGCCTAAATAAGTGTTCATTCCATTCTTTAAAACCTTGCCATCTGTATACACCATTAGAAGCTCATGGGAGAAGAGAAAACAGTCTTATCAGGCTTTCCTGTTAATCTCTATTGGCCTTAACTTTAGCTGATAAAAGGCGTGCTAGATGGAGGAGCTTCGGGTCAACCTCCATTTGGTCAGGGCGGCAACATTACTGGAAAGTAGCTCAGCAAATAAGTCCTGTCAGGGACCTTTTTCTTTGAGAACGGAAACATGCCTCGAAATCACAAGCGGTGGGGCAGGAGATGCCTCAGTCAGAAGGGAATAAACAAGTACATTGTCTGAGTTTTTATTTTAATACCTGAAGTCATGACTAATTCTGAGCCAGGATGACATTTCTGACAACTGAATGATACTTTTCTTAAAGAGTAAAGAATGTCTTTTGGATGTTAACAGAGAGATGCAAAAGATGCCCTTTAGTGTTACTTGTAGCATTTATGCATCTGTTTAATGAAATTTCCATGACTGTGGTTACAGAAGGTGCAATCAAAGGTGTACCATTGTCCTTTATTATCTGTGGAGGAATTTAACCAGGGGGTGGGAGGGAGCGAGGGAAGCACGACAAAAGACCTTGCAGAGTTGATGCTATATGAAGGCTAGCAATTTACTAAATGAGCAAATGAACTTAGTTTTCAGTTAACTGACTGAAAGACTTCACTAGGCATTGGATCGGGCCCAATGGCAATTATTGGAGGCTGTTTTGGATGATGGGCATGTTAGTATTTCTGAAGAGGATTAAACACTAGTATTCGACTTCATTAGCACTCCTTAAGGGTCACCAGCCGAAAGCCTGAGCTGTGAAAAAGCACACAAAACCTGCGCTTAGGCTCCAAATTGTTTCCAACACAAAGAGGAGGGACAAAAACAAGTGTGGCTTCTGAGTGATAGAAAATTGCCCTGTTTTGAAAGATATTCTGTGAATAGGCAAGTTTTTAAATTATTTTAGGGAAATTAATTTAGCTTAGCTAATGCTGATGTGGGTTGTTGTGCATTAAGCTAATAAGAAATATGCAAGCACTTATTTTTTGATTACCAGCAAAATTAAATCCAGGCTCCACAGCCAACTAACTGCCTTTACCAGTGCTCAAAAGCCTCAGCAACCACCCCAGTTTAAGATTAAAAAAGGTTATTTTGGGCCTAATATTAACCACATGTACCTGTGACTGGGGGTTTCTAACGAGTTGAAAGGTGCCTGAGTTTAGGGCAGGCGGGCGGTCGCCTTGCACGGAGTGTCCCCGCTCAGACGCAGAGGTGGCCCCCAGCTGGCACTGACCTCCAAACGACCCTTGCCTTTACAGGCTCCAACTAGCAGGAGTTGCAGAAGAGCAGAAGTCTTTCTGGGCCGGCACTTATTGCTGCTGTGCTGGTGATAAAACTTCAGACAGTCTAATTGATGGCTTTGCTGACCTAACGATACCTTGTGAAAGCACGGAGTGGAAAAGCCTGGTCCTCATTTATAGCCAGCTGCAAGGGGAGCTGGATCCCTACGATGGAAAGGGGAAAAGAAAGTCTCCCAGCCTGTGAACTTTAACCAGGATCTTAGCCACTTAGAAGAAGTTAAAGAAACAATTGTCTTTTAACACAAGTTTTCGGTCAAAGCCTTCTGGCAAATCCAGCTTTAAGCTGGCTAGTAAGATAAGCGTGTTACCGGTTACAATTTCTGAGCACTTAGAGGAAAATCCTTTAAAGTGAAATTATACTCTTTTAAAAAAGCAATGCGAAGCAAAACACATTTCCACAGCACACTAAAATCCTGTCAGTTTTAAAGCAGAGATGTTCTCAAAACACAGAAGCAAGCTGATGAAAGGACTTCTATTCTTTGTATTCTGTTGCAGGTTTATTAATGCCAGAAGAAGAATAGTACAGCCTATGATTGACCAGTCAAATCGAGCAGGCAAGTTCCAAGTAGTATCTGTATTCAAGTCCCACAGGCGCAAATCCTCATCAAGTTATTCTTCGGGAGTCCCATCACCTGGTAAATAAATGCTCCAACCAGGCATTCTGGGAGATTTTTTTTTTCTTATGTCCCCAGAATTCCGCTCTAGGAAGCAACTTCGCTAATTGGTGCTAATTGGAGATTTCCCACCCTGACTCTACTGAAACTGCTTTTTATTTTCTCTCTGAATTGGTAATTGGGTAGAAGTAGTAGTGCCACAAGCAGTTTGTTTGACTGTGAGCTCTTGAATTACTCATTGCTTGTCTGCATCCAATCAGCGGGACAATCTCATTTTCTTGCTACCCACAACCCCTTGGTATATGCATTGCTTTCACTTCTGGAAGGCAAGCTGTAAAACTCATTGTATCCATTCATTTGCTTTGAGTATTCACAATATACTACTAATGTGACGTGGTACCATACTGCCAGAAAATATTAAAAGATTATTACTTTTGTTTAAGAATGCACCAGATATGTTTACAGTAAAACATATGATTTTTATAACTATACCTTTTCCATGTTTCCATTAAAGCACTTGGAATATGTAACGCTTTACACAACAAGTGGTGCCATGTTAATCATTCCACTTTCTAATATGCATTTCCTCAGCATACTAGGGAGTTGTGGTTTCCTGACATGAGGTTATGGAATAAAACTATTTTCCATGTGGTGATGACTGTTGTCACTAACAAGGGTTTTAACTTGATGGTGATTTCGCCTGCTGCTTCACTTTAAAGGTTTGGGAAACTCTTCCCATGTAGCATTAATTTTCTTTTTCATTAACAGGTGAAAAAGGGGGAAAACACTAACTCAACTAACCATGAAAAACATTAAGCCAAATACAGAGTGTATACATAAATAAGAAAAGACATGTCCAGAATTTCCCTATTCTTTCTAGAGTAGGTGAAAGTGGTTTCATAAGTTTTATTAAGTTCCATCGTAAATACCCTGTGTCACAGATGGCAGATTCGCAACTTTGTGCAATTAGAGAGGAACAGAATAGGTACTTACTTCATTAGGGAAAAAACACATAGCACTTCAACGGGTTTCCACTGTTTTGCATTAAAGGTAAGTAGAGAAACAGATCCTAAGCAAGTGAACTGACTTGACAAACTTGTTTATTGGGCCCCCCTATAGCATTTTTATTCTATGGTCCTGGTAACATAATCAGCTCATAAAAAGCACAACCTGAGTTTAAACTGACAGCCAAGATATTGTATATAGCGTTTCAGTGCTGAAGCTGGAACAATTGCTGATTGTTTGGTATGTCTTCTTTTCTTTCTCCTCTGTGTCCACGATTGACTACAATCAGGTTTTCTTCTTGATCCTTCAGTGAGCCAAGGAGCAGCATATAGTCCAGAGGGTCAGCCGATGGGAAGCTTTGTATTGGATGGTCAGCAGCACATGGGAATCCGGCCTGCAGGTAGAGTCTTTGTGTCCTCGTCTGCAGTTGTGCTAGCCTCCTCTCCCCTACTGCTCTTCACCAACCTCACCTCTCACAACTCC